GATACATTGTAGTGAACATTATACTGTCAGTACTTGCGAAAAAGGTTCACATTCACAAATTTGTGTTTAGATTTTTAATAATATGCATTTTTCTGATTAACTTTTTCCCACATATATCTCTACAGCTTTTTTAGCTCCTTTAACGTGGCCAGTTTACCCTGGAGTTTGTGCTGAACGTGAAAATGTATTCCTCTTTGATGAAGCTGTTACAGTTCGACTAAATCACTGTAGGCAAGCAAACAATGAAAGGGTAATTCACAAACTCAAACTGTGCAGCCAAACACTGTTTAACCTGCCCAAAATCTCATTTTAACATAATATAATATTCATTATCAATGAAGAGCTGGAACAAGATGTTATAGAGTATACATACTGTATAATACTGTCAGAAAACGCAGAATAAAATGTATTTTTCCAACGTTGCCTAAAGACTGTATGTTAGGAAACACGTCACTTTATGGATGCATCAATAAAAAGCAACAATAAGACTTGTAGTGGGTTCAGAAGAAGAAGTTAACAGTAATAATTGTGACAAAGGATAAAAAAATGAGTGGATGTGACGACCTAACAAGCAGCAGCATTCACAGTTAATTTCACTTCCATCAGAAATTTGAATGCAACATTTAAAACCGGAGATATAAACTGCGCCAAAAGATTACAAAAACTCACCGTATTTATTCTCTGGAAACAGTTATGTATTATAAATCTACACTGCCCAGTTCCATTTTTACCTTTATACAAACATCTGAAACAAACAGAGTGTAGACGTTGAATCTTTAAGGGCACTCACCTACAGTCATCCTGGCAAATACATCTGGAAAGTTCTTCTCAAGCCATTGCCTACATTTGGCCGGCTCGGGCATGTACTCACAGTACTGCAGACACAACAAGGTAGACTCACTTAAAACACCTTAAAACAACAAAAGCTTAAATATCTGAAATGGCATTTTATTTGCGAACGAACTGGGTCACATGAAAGAATATAGTTTGATGAATAAAACTTACCTCCGTAGGCAGAGAGCACACTGCAGAGGGGGGAGGGGGAAAAAGCACAGTCACGTTTTGAAAAAAAGGGCAGAAATACATCTTAAAGATACTAAGATAGGTGCGAATGTTTGTACCGTACCTCCACAGTAAAGAACTTTAAGTGGGTACTTTGAATCAGGATCAAACGTCACATGCTCTGATTTGCTCTCTGAAGAAACAGACTCCATCTCAGTAGTTGCCATCACAAATTATCTGCATGAAGAAAGAGACAAAGTCAAAGTGGAACAGACATTTCCTAATA